GGTGGGTTGTCCAGAGCAGGGTTGTTGGTGGTTGGTTTTGATGTTGTCTTCTGTCCTCTGTCTTCTTTTATCTTTTACAGTCTTCTTGGTCCTTGATGTAGGTTGTGGGACGTGTGTTCGTCGTGGATTCTTTTGGTTTTGTGTTTGTTGGCATTATGCATGGACGTAAGACCCCCCTAGTTCACATTCCGCGCCCTGGCCTCAGCGCGGAACAATATATTGAACTATTCCTGCGTCAGCACGTGGTTCCAATAGCGGCTGAGGTGCACAACTTCGTGCTGATGCAAGATAATGCGCGCCCCCACACCGCGCGCATTACTCAGACCTTTTTGGCGGAAAACAATATTACACTAATGAAGCAACCGGCGGTAAGCACGAATTTAAATCTAATAGAACATTTATGGGATAACCTCAAACGACGTATTACGGACCACATCCCTCCTCCGCGGACCCAAGCAGAGCTGATTCAAATCGCGCAAGAAGAGTGGGACGCGATCCTTATCAGTGTCGTGAATAAATTAATTGCAAGTATGCCGCATCGCTTCGAGGCGGTTATCAATGCACAAGGTAGAACCACCCAATATTAAAAATGTATAGTTTTTTGCTAATTATTAAGTTTGTAAATAGTGTAAATACTGTAAATACTGTAACATTATTTGTAATTCACAGTTTTTTTTTTAAGTTTTTCGCTAATTATTAAGTTTATAAATAGTGTAAAATTTATTGTTATTTGTAAGTTTTTTTTAACGGCTTTATTAAATTTTAGATGAATTAAATTTGACTTAAAGATTAGAATTCCAAAAATTAAAGTTTTTGTCCTTTTTTTTTGCAAATTGTCTTCGAAATCGGGTGTTTATTTTTCGCCACGCGCGAAACTCTTCTGTTTAATTAAAAAGCAAAAATTAACTCTTTCGCTTTGGTAGGGCATTTTTCTAACACACGCATTGGAACATTGTAAGAGCGCGGCGCGACCCCGCGAGGAACGCAGAAGACAGGGAAAGTGGAAGAGTACCGAGCGGGGTACGATGGGTTGCCTAGCTGCCGGACGCTCTTGAATGCTGGCTCCGTCCGACTCACTTAACTACTCTTTCAAATCTGCTCCGATTTAACAACGAAAGCGTGTGTTACGTATACAAAAACTCTCCGTTTTCCGAAGCTCACGTTCATCAATTTTATTTTATCTACCCTCCTGGAATTTGGAGCTCGGTCTCACTGGAGTGCAATCTGCAGCTGCATCCTCTTAATATCATCTTTGACTCGCGTTGCGTGGGATACTTTCTAATCTACCCTTTTCACAGGGCACACAGCTGCCGACCTCAGAGCAACGAAAATCCTAACCGTCAAATTTCCTAATATGGAAATCACTGACGGTTCCCCACCAACATTTAGGGGTGTATAAACCCACGATTTTCGTTGCTCGGGGGCTAGTACGAAAGAGTTACTTGTTAGAGACACATTGATCGTCTGCAGAGTAGTACTCTAGTGAGATCGGGCTTCAGTTCCTTTCGATCATCGTTACCATATAGATCCGCGAAGACGGTTTTAAAATCTATTACGGCCATAAAAGTACTCTCGACTCCAGCATCGCCAGTGCGTCAACACCGCGCAACACTTAGGTAATTTTAACTTCATACACTAACCGCGACAACACGACACTGGACACTTGTAATTAGTATAGTTATTTTAAATATATACTCTTTGTGTAAACTTAAAAGTCTGTAAGATCAATCATCAAACCTTTACTTTGAAATCACCAATCTTAGCCAGTGTAACGATCCCACAACATAATAACTTTACCGCTCGAGTTATTATTCTATTAAATTAACAAGTTGCGAGGCTTTATCCGCGACGCGTAGTATTCATTATCGATACGATTTAGTCATTGTGTACTCAACCCGAGCTCCTAAACTTAACCTATTCTGCGGTTACCCTTTACTGGGAGATACCGATTCCTGCTAGCTATCTGACTTCGCGCCAGAGTCGCTACACTTTTTCCAACAACCTCACAGTTCGAACCTTACCCTACGATTACGCTTTACTGGGAGATACCAATTCCCAGCAGCTACCTGACTTCGCGTCAGAGGCGTCTGCGTTTGTCTCCAATAACCAAGACAACCAAACACCTTACCCTACGGTTACCCTTCACTGGGAGATACCGATTCCTGCAGCTATCTGATTTCGCATCAGAGTCGTCTGCATTGTCTAATCTATCCTCAGCCTTCGGCACCATTGATACACAATAATTAATCGTATTGGTTCAATTCTCTAATCTATCCCACTCGCTGGGCTCACACGTGCGTCGCTATCGCCCTGGCTCGTAACACATGATTAAAAAAATCTGAATTTTTGGGGACCTGTTAATAAAGCATTCGCGCATCCGATACCATGAACGGCATTGACGTGGGGTTGCTCGTTCACCCTGCAGATGGGCCTGAAGTTGGGGGTGGGTTTTCCCTAAAAAACATTTTCGTATTTTATTGCCATTCACGCTGGAAAAAGACATCAAAACTGTGTCGCACCGATGCCCTAGACTATTGGACATGTAATTCCAGCAACGAAACAACGTTCCAACCCTTACACTTGGGGGTGGACCACCCCTACCTCTGCCCTCCCCCCTTCAGCGCCGTGGGCAGTTTTCGAAACGGGACCTTTTCGGCATTCATCCTTAACATATCGAGAACAAATACGGTGTATTTCATCGCCGTTTAATGTGTGGAAGTGCTCCCTTACGAAGGGGGTTGAAAATTCGCGAGCTGTTCCACTCCCCCAAGGGGTGGCTATGGGGTGTACGGTATGGGTGATGGCATTTTCTGGATCGGGGGGTCCGTAGAATGCATTGAGCCCAAAATCGAGACCGTCGTCCAAAAATTGTGGATTTTAGAGGGGGTGCATTTTGTAGAGGACATCAAGGAGAGTCGCCCCAAAGGTTTTTTTGACTTTTTCAACCTCTTCCGTCATCTGTGGCCTGTTTAAAGAGGCGTTTTTCTACACCCTCCCCTTTAGGGGGATGAATTAACCCCTTCGCGTCAACCCTCGCCAATGCAACTTTACACACGCCTAGGGGACACTTTAAAAGTACTCCTCACGCAGTTTCATTTCAATCGGTTGAAAACTCCCATAGTTACGACGGTTTGAAAAAGTGTCCCGCTAATTTTTGGGAGTAGTGTATATACGTTGAATTTTCCGGTTTTCCCAATTTTTCTCCGTTTCTCATTATCCAATCATCTGCTACATTTCATCTGCTTCGAGCATTGATATTGCTCCTTTAGTTCAAAATTTATAAGCAAAAAACGACAAAAATCAAGATTTTCTTGGATTAAATTGTTGAAAACGGAACAGAGTTGAGAGTGAAGAACATATACCTATTCATCTACACATCCCCTTTTATGTAATTGCAGAATCGGTTTGCTGTTAGTACTTTTGTCACCAAATCGCTGTTTTAATTCTCTACCGATTGGCCTAGTTGTATTGCTGACGATTGGAGGAAAGTTGTTTTTGTGACGTATCTCGTGCCTGTATCGGGACAAACGATGATGCTGGAAAATTCGTTTGGAAAATAATGAATGAAAAGTTTTATCTAGACTGTTTGAAGTTTAAGGGGTTAGTCGCAGTCAGGAAAATGGAAACGGACAATTTCTTGTGTTTTTTTTTAAGGTATTAAATAATAATTTTTATTAATGAAATGTAAATATATTACAAAGTATGTCTTAAAGAATTATAAAAGAATTTTTGTTTTAAGAAAAGGTTAATTCATTTCGTCATAACAGGCGATGGCGTGGGTGGCCACTTGCTTTGCGGTGAGTAAGATTTCTTCAAACTGGTGCACCTGAAAACAAAACTAAAGGTAGATTTAGAAAATATATTAGACTAACGGGTCCCTGAACGAATGATTTTTTATTTTCTTGTATACTTTTTTTTATCCTGTATTGAATTGCTTAATTTTAGTGAAAAAATTGAAAATCAACTTCAAATGTACGCCATCTTGTTTTAAATTAATTTTTTCCAAAATCCTTCGTTCAGGGATCCGCTAGACTAATCTATTTTCGAAATCTACCTTTGTTTTTGTTTTCAGGTAAACCTCAAGTGTAGAGGTGTAGAGAAATCTTGGTCACCGCAAACGTATGTTTTTAAGTCATCGACTGTTATGACGATATAAATTAAATGTTTCTCAAAACAAAAAATGTTTTTTAGTTCTTTAAAACATGCTTCATAATATACTTAACTGTTACTTATGCAAATTATTATTTAATAACTAAAAAAAAATCACAAAGAAATGTCGTTTTTCCTCTTCCTGACTGCGACTAACCGCTTAAGCAGAAATACCCAGAATCGTATGTGGTGCGAAGTTGTATAAAGTTGTGTGTAGTTGTCATCGTAGCAAATTAGTACAAAATTATTTAATGAATTGTTACGAGCCAGGGCGATAGCGACGCGCGTGTGAGCCCTGTGAGTGGGTTGAATTCAAGAATCGAAGAAGATACGATTAGTCCTGTTTATTTCACTGGATCCAAAGATTGAAGATGGAGTAGAAATCGCAGACGACTCTGACGCGAAACCAGATAGCTGCTGGGAATTGGCATCTCTCAATTAAGGGTAACCGTAGGATTCGTATCTCCCAATTAAGGGTAACCGTAGGATCGGTATCTCCCGGTAAAGGGTAACCGTTGGAGAGGTTAGATTGAATCGTATCGTTGGAATATAATACGCGTCGTGGATAAATTCTTGCAACTATTAATTCTAAACAAATAGTAACTCGAGCGGTAAAGTTATTATGTTGTAGGGTCATTACACTGGTTAGGATTGCTTATTCCAATGGTGAAGGTTTAATAACGATTTAACAGACCTTTTCAGGTTAACAAATGATTATATATTCAAAACTGAATAATTCTAATAATGCAATTGTACAGTGTCGTGTTGTTGCGGTTAGTGTATGAATTTAGTTACCTAATGGTTGCACGGTGTTAACGCACTGGCGATTCGGGGGTCGACAATGCTTCCATGCCGTAATAGATTTTGTACCGTCCTCGTGGATCTATTTGGTTAATGTTGATCGAAAGAGATCTGAATCCCGATCTCACTGAAGCGCAACTCTGAAGACGATCGACGTGACTTTACCAAGTAACTCTTTCGTACTAATTCCTCGAGTAACGAAAATCATGGGTTTATATACCCCTAGATATTGGTGGGGATACGTCAGTGATTCCCATATATGGAAATTTGGCGGTTGAGATTTTTGTTACTCAGAGGTGAACATCTGTGGGGCTTTAGAGAAAGTTTAGATAAAGGGTTACTCACGCAACGCGAGTTAAAAGATGATTCTGAGAAAAGTATGGTACAGCTGGAGAGTGCACTTCGGTAAGACCAGACTCCACATTCCAAGGGGTAGATAAAATAAATGAACGCGAGCTTCGAAAAGAACGGGTGTGCATACGTAATAGAATAATCAGTTAGAAGTATTACAAGTAACGGTTCCTTCGATCGTAAAGGAAATTTCGGAGGCATCGACAAGTCTTCGAGGACCCCCAAACGCAGGCATACCCCCCACCCGCGCTTCAAGGGGGCTGGCCAAAGGGGACCTGGAGGTGTCGTCGCGAACGCCGACAGGATCGTACGTCACTTCAGTTGAAAACGTCGAAACATGAAGAATTTAAAAACGAAGTGACATTGAATATTTAAGGTAATTAATTAAGGATACTGACAAGACATCGCGAAGTGTGCACCGAATTCTGTAATCAGAAGTTTTTCCTGTGTATAGAAACGTATGTATGAAAAATAAATGTTTAAATATGGATGGAGTGTCAAGTTGTGAAGTGAATATTTTGCCCTGGACGCGGTTCGATCCCGGTAGGAGACACTTACTTTTTTACGTTTTGTTATGAAAACTACCTTTTTATATATAAAGATTATTTTAATAAAATATTGTGTAATTTTTATGTTTTTATCGCATAGAGAAGGGAGTCAGGACGTGGAGAAGAGTTTTTACAAGCTTTTATAAAAATTATTTACAGCGTAAATTTTAGATTTTTATTAGATTTTTAGAGTAGGACAAATGGCAATTACGCTGTAAATAATTTTTATAAAAGCTTGTAGAAACTCTTTTCCACATCCTGCCTCTCTTTTCAATGCGATAAAAAACATAAAAATTACACGATATTTTATTAAAATAATCTTTATACAATAGAAAGGTAGTTTTCATATCAAAACGTAAAATAATAAATATCTTCTACCGGAATCGAACCGCGTCTAGGGTAAAATATTCACTTCGCAACCTGACACTGCACCGACTGCGCCACGATGCTTCTATGACATCCCCAACACGGTTACGGTCGACACTCGTCAATCGAAATTTAGATATTTTTTAATATTTATTTCTCGAAAACGAGAGAAAGTTGCGCGTCCCTACTTTCAGAGATTGTTCTACATACGTTTCTATACATAGGAAAAAATTCTGATTAAAGAATTCGGTGCACACTTCGCGTGCATATGTTATTAAATAATTGAAACTTTGTTTGAATATCTACATAGTATACAATCTAATATTCTTTTTTGTTTTCATTATAGAATGAGCAGCCTGGAGGAAGGTATAATTACTTATTTATAGTAATTGAAAAATATTGTAAAAACTTTATATTAATCTTTATTTTTTTTTCCAACAGTTACATACGGGATTGACAGGTTGTCCTTCTGGGACAACTACACGAGACATGAATAATATGGGGTAACATTTTTAATGGCATCCTTCGGTATGCCGCAGCCTTCGCGGTGGCTGACCAGTATCCGCAACGCGAGACTGTGGTACGTTTAAAAATAATCGTTAACCAAAATTATGTCAATAATTTTTGATTAGTACTTAAAATTAATATATTCCGTCATACTAATCTCAGAGTAACAGACACCGGCGGCAGCGGCAAAATAGACGCTGCAGAAGGACCGCGTCAAGAAATGAAGTACTAACGCGGCCTCCACCCGCGAGAAGGCAACAACCGAGACGGCAGGGGCCGATCAATAAATATATTTATATTACACAAAGTTTTAAAAAAAATAAAATTATCAAGTGTATATTACCTTAATTTGTGTTTCCCATATACACCCTAGTCCAGAAGTTCCCCAACTTTTTCCCAAACTTCGCTCGCTTTATGTCGGTGAATCAGGGCCTACGTCATGCGTTCTGCACAATCGTCGCCACGCACTTTAATCTTTTTTTACTTAAGTTAGTGTTTGGGGGGTAAACTCTGCTGTAAAGAGAAATTTGTTAGGTAGCAGTTTGCATTTAAAATTAACAACAAAATATGCAATTATAGATTGAATTAATTGTTAAATAATTCAATTTAGATTTAAATAAAGTTTGCTCAATACCAAATTAACAAAAGTTGAATAATTGAAGATACAAAAACGGGAAATTAATGATTAAAATTTAAACAGTGGAAAATTGTCTCCGTTTTGTTGAGTTCCAGTATAAATGAAATATTAAAAATGAAGAATTACTTATCTGGAACATGTAAATGTAATACAAAACCGATAGCGCGTGGCGCCGATTAGGCGAATCCCGTAGCGACGGCCCTGACTAACCGAAACACAGCGAGCAATGGCTGTGCAGCTGCAAAATACCGTTCAAAATTTTTCTATGGTTAGGTCTTTTTCATACAAATTTTTAAATTTTTTTTTCGATTATTTCTAAGATACCTTTACATTTTAGGCCATATATCGAATTAGAAATGTCCGATTGGGTCACGCAAGTTGCCATTTTAAAGGTAATCGAATTTCCAACAATTGCGTTTCACATTGTTTTCCAATCGCTTCAATAGTTCAAGTGTTACGGGCCAACCCATATGATAAACCTTCAATTTATTCGGCTAAATTAGAACATAACAATTTCTTCCATTGCTATGCAAAATTAGTAACTGTCAAATTATGTCCAATTTCTTATTGTTTGCGTATAGATCGCACTTTTACGAAGAAAGCAAGCTTTTGTTGAATAAAATCTATGGATAAATACCGTAGTTAGGAACAATTGAGTAAAGGTACAAAAATTCCAATTTTACTCTGTTTTTGTATTCTTTTCCCATTTATATAGGAAACATTTATTTTATGGTATTGGTAGTCGGTAACCGATACTCTTCCATCAAAGGTCGCGTATAGAGAGGACGCGAGACCTCCCGGCACGTAAACGCACGATCAGGGAAAAAGACAAAAGCCCGTTAGTTCTAATAAAGACGTTGCGAAACCTACATGTGATTTCTTTAGGCTCCTTAGTTCGTTATTACAGTTTAATTAATTTCGATTAGAAATAATTTCGGCCTTTGCTTTGTCTTCTGTTATTCGTTGGGTTCGTTTCTCTGATGAGGAATCAAATGTAGTCTCCCAACATTCTTTCATCCCAATATCCTTGATATAATCAGCGACGTCCGTGCAGGTATTAGGTTGTTCCGAAAGTTTCTTTCGCGAGTTGCACTTAATTATTTTATGTAGTCGTGTTTATATAAATAGACGATCTAATTTCATAAATATTCATGTTGTAACAGTAATGGACCAAAATGAATCGTGCACAATTTAGTAATGTAACATAAAACATAAAATATTGTGCATGTATTACTTATTAATAAAGCCGAAAAAGCTTTTGGGACAACCTAATATTTTCTTCTGCTACTTCAATTATTTCAAAATTGCTTGTGTTATCCGTTACTGTCGCAACGATTTTTTCCGAGTCTAATCCAAATTCAATATGGATGCTACTCATTATTTCTTGAATTTTCTCAAACGAGTGCGTGCCGGGAAAGCGTCGGCACGCAAGGGCTGCTGATTTTCGGTTGCATTCCTCATCAATCTAATGCGCCGTTACTCCAAAAAAAATGTCGGCGTCTTGTCGACCAAATATCGGCGGTGGTGCATGCGTACTCCACTTTACGTAAATCCTCCTTGATTGTAGAGACCGCATCGTTGTACATCGTGCCAATGATTCTTCCCAACGTGCGGCGACTGACCATTTTCTCATTGCAGCCTAAATTTTTAAATATCTGCCGGTAACTTTTGTTTTCAACTATCTGCAATGGAATCATTGCGCTTATCACGAACGCTGCCATATCCGTTTCAAACTGGCTTCCAGCAGCCCTTACCTTTGATGTTCCTGCGATCATTTTTCGTGTTTGTTTCGCCGACATTTCGCTGGAATATTCTTCGAATGCAGACGAATGCTTGCACTTCAAATACGAGCGAAAATTTGATGTGGAAGTCAAATGCCCTTTGATTTCCATCCTCTTCGTTGTACACAAGTTCCACACGATAACAACGTACCTCGGGTTGGATTTTTCCTTCACAATTGCAAAGTATTACCCGTTCAGGATGCTTGGTACTGACGGACTTTCGGACGACTCTGTAAAGAATAAAAACGATCAATTTTCACATTTGTACATTCTTCATACCTGTTGGTGTCGGAAGATATTATTGAACAAGTTTTAAATTTCATTTATGTACCTGGTCTTAAATTTTCGTTCTCGGTTTCGCACAATTCTAGCGCCCCCTCGAGGACTCAAAGGTGGTGGGAAAAATGGTCGGGTAGAAATGGAGATTTGTTCGTGATTGGTTGAAATATTCGGTTATAAGAGGAGAAGTCGGCTGAGGAGGAAAAACGGTAACTCTATTGTTTGTAAAAGCCTGGCGGAAAACGGAAAAAGTGACCGCGCGACATCTGCTCGCCAAATGTACTAACCTAAGCGCCTACATTTTGGGAAAGCGCATTTATGATAGGGTCGACCAGAATTACCCTTAACTGTCGACGGAGGAGAATATAATTTTACGCTTAAATAAACCTTACAACCTAACAGTAGGTGTAGTTGTTTGCCATCTCTATGTATGCCATATGTATGCCCTCTATATGTAAATTACAGATTAAACTACGGAATACGTATTTTCTAAAATTTGATTTTCTTGCATTATGTTAATGCAATAATGCGATAATGAAAATTATCCTATTTATACTGCACTTACATTATGTGCGAAATAGAATCCTTAAACCTGTATAATCTAGGAACTGGAAAATTTGTATGTCGTTCCTAATTACACAAAGGTGTGTATTTTAAGTGATCAAACAATTATATAAAAATTACTTGAATCCTGTAATAGGATTCAATTGCATAGAATCCAATTGCAGTGGACTCACTGCAATGGACATTTCTGAAAAGGAAAAATAACATCTTTTCGACTGAAACACTCCATTCACAAAGTTCAGTTCGGTTACTATCATAAATATCTTTTCTCGTACCTTCTTTCCTACAGGCGGCCTTCGTGCACAAAATAATCTATGAATTCTTTCCGAATGCTTTCGTTTTCGGATGACTTCGGGGCCCGCCGATGCCGTATGGGGCGCATATTTTCTAGTAAATTATCCTGCGGAATATCCCTTCGCCAATTTTCGTCGAGTAGGTTGCCCCCATCAACTCGGTCCAATTCTTCAACTGTGCAATATGTCCCACTTGAAGAATCGGACCGAAGATAATTATGTAAATACATAATCGCCGTAACAATGAAGACAGCCTTCTCCGGATGTACAAGAAGGGGTTTCCGTAGGACTCGATATACTGATGACACAGTACCAAAAGCATTTTCTACCACTCTCCGGGCCCTGCTTAAACGATAATTGAAAATTCGTTTGCCCGATCCCTTCCTGTGTACGCCTGCATACGGCTTCATTATATGTTTTTCCAATGCGAAGGCCTCATCGGCAAGAATAACGAAAAGTACTGTCGCTGGAAGGGATCTTGTGAGGTCGTAAACCGAAACAGTAGTTATTGCTTTATTGGTCCAGGTAACTGATCCGTAGAACGACAAGGGTGTCGCGGTTCTAAAGTATACATGCCCACGTTACACCTCGGGACCCCAAGACTTGATGTTTGCTACGCAGGTTTTTCCAAATTGGAAAAACCGAAAACTCTTGACGATGATTGGTTAACTAAGTTCCTACCTACCACAGTATTTTCAATAAGTAGACAGCTCTCGGACCCAAACCTTCATTTTAATGAGTACTTCATAGTAATGAGAACGAAGACATACAAGAAAAAATATGTTATTGACAGATAAGCCGAAGCATATGGCCATATTATACTGAGATTACCACCCCATTACAGGGTGCGGTAGAAATACCTCCCACATTTTAAAAAACGATTAAAAAAAATGGTACGAGATAACATCAGATACTTTTTATTTCTTAAATCTAGATATAAAATTTCATTAATGTTATCTACCTCATTTCGTGCTGACGACGCCCTGTATGGACCGTAGCTCGGCGAATTTAAGTCCATGTGACTTTTTTCTGTGGGGATACCTCAAGGCTGAGGTTTTCAAACATCGTCCTTGGTCCTTCAATGAACTAAAGGAGGCCATCCAAGAGGAAATTGAAAGAATTTCTCCCGAAATGCTAGCGAGAGTGATGGAAAATTTTCAAGAACGACTGTGTATCGCCCGTAAAGGCCACCATTTGGACGACATAATTTTTAAAACATAAAGTAAAGAAAACTTTTTTATATCTAGATTTAAGAAATAAAAAGTTTCTGGTGGCATCTCGTACCACTTTTTTTCAATCGTTTTTTAAAATGTAGGAGTTATTTCTGCCGCACCCTGTATATTTAACCCTATCGAAATGATATGGGCACAGCTAAAACAAAATATTTGGAGAAAAAAAAGATACCCGCAAATTTGATTGGAAAGTTATTGAATTAACCTTTTGCGCTAGGTTGGCGCCTGTAGGGTGACATATGTAATTTAAAAGTGATTTTCTGAACGTATAATTTCAATTTCACTTATATTAGAATACAACTAATTATTAATTGAATTAATAATACATTGAGTCATGAACGTTCGTAGATGTTTCTCTTTGAAGTAGAGTTTTTGGTTTCACAGAAATTTATTATAAAAATGAACTGGATTTGAATCTATAGAAAAATGCCTCGAGTGCAAAGGGTTAGTACGAAATGAGGTAGATAACATTAATGAAATTAATTGGAAAAATGTCGTTAAAAAAATAATAAAAATTGAAAATGAATATCGTGAGGAGGTTGCAGAATGATCATTGGAAGATATTTGGATAACATTTAAGGGGTGAGGAAGTCATCTTGGACGAGGTGACTTCCTCCTTTAACAGAGGGCAGACAACGGGACATATTTGAAGAAGAGGGACATATTGGGGTGGGGAAAGTCTTTTTATAAATTGCTGATTTGCTGCAATTTGTTAAAAGATACTCCCCAATCTAATATTACATACATACCATTCAAGGAAAAGGAAAATTCTGAAATACAAAAATTGAACCTTCTTAAAAGGAAAGTATCAGAAAGTAAAAAGTAATATTTTTCGTCATTATTATTAGCTTAAAACATAAATATTTGGGTGAGTTTGATTAAACTAGACTACAACCTCCTCTCCGCTCCCCTAGAATGTACTTCACAAAGCGAAATAGTCTTATAGTAATCGATTCATGCATTACAGAATTATGTGTGAACCCAAATATGTTTTCTAATAATAAAAATAGTAAACAAATAAAAAGATTCCCCTTTTTAAACTAGAACTACAATAAATTCCAGATGTGAATTTAGAAACTATTATACAAACATTAAAATTAAACTATGCATACTTATAACATACTTATAATTATATTTTCTTATAATTAAAACATTCACTGCACTTCACTTGATTTACAATTAATTTCACACTGCACTTCACTTAATTCATAATTTATATTGAATCTGATTATACTGAATCTTCACTTCCTGCTTCGTTATCTTCAGAGGCCGTATCTTGAATGTTGATGTTCAAGTTGTCCGTTGCAGTTTCCAATAAAAAGTCCTGTTTGTAGTACCGCCTTTCCAATTTTTCGGTGTGGTCGCAAAATTTACTCCAATCATTTTCCGTCGCTCCATTTATAGCTTCCTTCGTCAATCTTAATAATTCTGTAAACGTTAACGTTCCAGTGTTTTGTTCTCGTACTTTCCTCTTCATTTGAGCCCATGCCAACTGAATTGGATTTAGCTCGCACATATATGCAGGCAATCGCAGAACTATATTTTCTTCTGACTTCATTATTGTGTCGACCTTGTACACTTTCTCCATACTTTTATTTGCTTTTATAATCTTTTGTAGCTCATATCTTCTCATAGCTTCCGAATAGCGAATATTATGTTCTTCTAGCCAAGCGATCATTTCTGCCTTCCTAGCATGTATTGACGGTGCTTTCTTTATTTGCACCGTGTGGTAGAGTGCGTTGTCCATCTACGCTTTTTCCCGGTATATTCGGTAGTACAATAGTTTCTCGCGTATCCATTTTTCAAAATTTGTCGAATTCATCTGGCCGTGATAATCCCCCGTCGTACCGTTGCCTTTAAAGATGAGCCCAGCTCCTTTAAGGGGTTAGTTGCAGTCAGGAAAATGGAAACGGACAGTTTCTTGTGTTTTTTTAAGGTATTAAATAATAATTTTTATTAATGAAATGTAAATAAATTACAAAGTATGTCTCAAAGAACTATAAAAGAATTTTTGTTTTAAAGAAAGGGTGATTCATTTCGTCATAACAGGGTTGCGTGGGTGGCCACTTGGTTTGCGGTGAGCAAGATTTCTTCAAACTTGTGCACCTGAAAACAAAACTAAAGGTAGATTTAGAAAATATATTAGAACAACGGGTCCCTGATCAAAGGATTTTTTGTTTTCTTGTATACTTTTTTTAATATCCTGTATTGAATCGCTTAATTTTAGTAAAAAATTTAAAATCAACTTTAAATGTACGCCATTAATTGTTTTAAATTAATTTTTTCCAAAATCCTTCGTTCAGGGATCCGCTAGACTAATCTATTTTCGAAATCTACCTTTGTTTTTGTTTTCAGGTAAATCAATGTAGAGAAATCTTGCTCACCGCAAACCTATGTTTTTAAATCATCGTCTACGTCATCGGCTGTTTTGACGATATAAATAAAACGTTTCTTAGAACAAAAAATATTTTTTAGTTCTTTAAAATATGCTTTATAATATACTTAATTGTTACTTATGCAAATTATTATTTAATAACTAAAAAAAATCATAATAGGGAAAAACAAATGAGTCATATTTTGATACCTGGATGGCAATTGTCAACCAAACTTCGGTTTCGTTAGTCAGTCGTTCGGCGTGAGCGCAAGCAGAAGTGCGTACTGTCTAAAGTGAAAAGTGTGTAAGTTTTTTTAGAAGACGTCAATTTCAATTCTGCAAAATGGATGCTGTTCCTGGATGTAAGTAGAACATTTCTGAGTACTAACATATTAAAAGTTGTAATCCAGTAAGTTCATACACCGATACATTTATTACTGAAAATAAAAAGTAAAATATCATGCATACATTGTAAAGAAGTAAGCAAAAGGTTGCATATTCCACAATATCCCGCTAAAATTCTTGTTTAAACTCGTATGTAACACTTTGATCTAAGAGAATTTGCAAAAATTAGTTGCCACTTTGTGCCACAGTGATCATACGGTCATATCTTGTATTGTAGGGTGAACGTGTTACTAATTTCACGCGGTTTTTTCTTGGAAACTGTCGCAGATACAACAAATTTTTTTAAATAAAAGATGTATGATTTTGGGATGATTTCTTAGATTGAATGAATTTTCTTGAAACTAATGCATAAATAAAGTTTTATTATTCAAAATTGTAGATTTTTTAATGAACCAGTTGATTTAGTTCATTACACTAGTTTACAGCCAAAATGTACATTCAATGCAACTATTTTTTCTTATGTATTTTGGTCTACTAAACTCGAAAATCACAATGAAAAAAAAATAAAAAAAGAGTAAAATGGAATTTTTGTACAACTGTTCATAACTCCGGTATGTATCCATAGATTTTCTTCACCAAAAGATTGTTTTCTTCGTGTTTTATTTTAGCCCAGAAAATCGAAGTTTCTCATATATTTTTGCCCATAATTGTAAATGATCTAGTGGACTGTATAACTTGTAGAACTTATTTATTTAACGTCGAAGTGACTCTAGGGAGTTAAAACTGTGGTTACGTTTACAATTTCTCGGAAGTGTGTTCTCTCGTCGAAGACTGCGTGTTGCTATTTATTCGTTTTTGCGTGGACGTAGACAAATTTGGGCGAGGTCGCCGATTCGTCCTTTTGGTTACAATTTGGGGGATTCACCACCCATAGTGGGGTTAACTTCGAGCGAGCCCCGAGCGGCCCACGAAGAAACCCCGAAGGTTCCGTTCTAATGACCGTAGCAAGTAATAAACTCAAGGAACCTCTCGACTGCTAATAAAACACGTGGAAAACATAAATCAGTAAAATCGAAAATTTGACAAGCCTCGATTCCCTGATCCTTTATTGCTTATTAGAGGAGCTGTTAAATAATAAACGCTCGATAAGAAAATGTTTTCATTGTGATTTTCGAATTCAGCAGGCCAAAATACATAAGAAAAAAATAGTGACATTGAATGTACATAAAAATTTGTTTATTTTGTAAACTAGTGTTATTGACTATAAATATGCATAAACAATTTATAAAGAATTAATCAATCTTGAGAATTCTTAACTGCAACATTTTTCATGTAAGACCTCTAAGAATCACAAAATATCGTGAAGGCCCTGTTGCAAGCTGTGAATTGTGCCTTCCTTATACCTGTCTTATTTTATGACAGCCATTGAATAACTGTGCGGTGTTACCATTCGTTTTCTCTCTCTTTCTTTTCCATTTAGATTTATTTGGCAAACAAATAGAATGCGAGCAAAAAATGGCCTTTTTTGGTCGATGTCTCGGATTTTCACGAAAATGGGCGAAAATCTCAATATTTGAAGGCTTGTATTTTTCAAACAGTTTCGAAACGAGCAAAATGTTGATTTAACACCCCCCCCCCCCCCCAATAATTTCACGTAAACTACAATATATTTCATTCGTAACACAATCCGAGACATCGACCAAAAAAAGTAATCGATTTAGCGTGGAATGACCCTTACATCGAATATATTTAATGCCTTTGCTTTAATTTTTAAAGAGTCTTTAAACTAACCTTACAGTTTTGTTTTAAATACATTGTAATTTATGTATAATTATGTAGAATATGTCGTAATTTTATTTATTTACAAGTTCTTCTGATAGCGAAGTACATTTCAGCAGCGAGGAAATTTATTTCATGGTCAAAGGCTACTTAAATAATCCACTGAGAGTAATTCTTGAGCATTTAGAAGAGCAGCTGGCCGAGAAAACCGGACACTCTATTCGGATAATTGCAAAGGAAATGAAGTTGGTCTTATCAAAACTGTTTTACGTAATGAGGAAGAAATGGAACGAAGCAAATCGAACCGTAGAAAAATTTTTTCAATATTCTAAAGAATGGCTCACTGTTCCGGTAGCGTTCCGTATACCTGCAGTGACCTTGGAGAAATCTGAATATAAAGGCGGTCGACCTTCTTTGGAATTTATCTCCTCTAGCGAAAGGTCGAAACGAAGGAAAACTGAGGAGATCCGAAAAAATTTGTCTTCCGAAGAACTATGCTTTTCCATACATATGAGTCTTCGAAGTGTAGGAAAAGTAGATGCTTCTGAAATTATAAAAAACATAAGTGCATCGAGTCCATCACGAGCTACAGTGTACATACAATTTGTGCAGAAAGTTGTTGAAACAATCTTGTCCGGCGATACTGCTCTGTCACTGCTAATTGAAAACAAATTGTCCAAGAGACAATATTTAGGATTACGGACCACAAGTAAAGAACATAATTGTAATTTATATCCGGCATACAACACGGTTTTAGAAGCGAAACGAAGATGTTATCCATCAGCAGTCGATATTCCAATTACAGAATATAGTGTAGAAGTTAAACTGCAAGCTTTATTGGATCATTCAGTTCAACGGATTTTGTTAGTTCAAAATAATATAATTAGAAATTTGGCCCCATCAGAGGTACGACACATGATTTTGATCTGCAAGTGGAGATGTGATGGAAGTTCCAGCAAAGCATGTACAAACAAAAATTTACTATTGATGGAAAATCCGATTCAGATATTTTTCTGATATCACTTGTGCCACTACAACTTATGTCTGAAGAAAATGATACCATAAAAAACTTCAAAAAAGTAAAAAAATTACGCCAAGTACATGAAAAAGTGGAGGACTTAAAGAGTAATCATAGAAAAATAGAAGATCGCTCTAAAAAAAATGCAAGAAAGTAGAAAAAGATGTGAAATCGAAATGAGCAGCCAGTATATGAAGGTTCTTTTCAGTAAAGTGCAAGGTGACACTGTGTAACATAATATCAAATTCGGTGCTTTCCAACTATGCGCAGATAAAATGCTGTGCAACAGTGCAGACGTTCAAAGTCTAATGGCAACTCATGTAAACTGACAGCACTGCACTTTGGCGTTGAAATGAAGAAGCTAAATAGTGTATCAACCACAAACTGAAACTGTTTAGACATTTGCCTAGATGTCCGTGGTCTGGAAGTCAAATGCTTGGCGTGGCCAGGCAAAGCATTCTCAGATCATGAATACCCATACTTTCTCTCTCGCAGACTTTCACATAATTTGTCAATTTAAAACTTTAGCAATATGAGTACATTTTCATTTTATTGTGTTTTAAAATATTTCTAAGGACATTCATTGACGCAGATACCCCTCCTCTCACAGGCTTTCAGATCATTTGTCAGTTTAAAACGCTGACAATATGAGTACATTTTCATTATTTTACATTTTAAAATAATTCTTATTCATCAAAACCTTGACCTTGCCTGGCTACGCCAAGCATTTGACTTCCAGGCCACGGACATCTAGGCAAATGTCTAAACAGTCTCAGTTTGTGGTTGATACACTATTTAGCTTCTTCATTTCACCGCCAAAGTGCGGAGCAGTCAGTTTACATGAGTTGTCATTAGGGCCTGAACGTCTGCACTGTTGAACACAGCATTTTAGCTGCGCATAGGTGGAAAGCACCGATTTTTCATTGTGTTATACAGTGTCGCCTTTGCACTTTGCTGGAAAGCACCTTCGTGTACTGGCAACTCATTTCGATTTCACTTCCTTTTCTACTTTCTTGAATTTTTTTAGGGGGATCTTCTATTTTTCTATGATTACTCTTTAAGTCCTCCACTTTTTTATGTACTTGGTGTAATTTTTTTATTTTTTTTTAAGTTTTTTCGTATTTTCTCGAGTAAAAGATACGCCGTAGCGCCAGCGCCAGGCATATACGGGGAAGCTATTTTTTCATGTACTTGGCGTCGAGACGCTACCGCGGCTCTAGATTATATGGAA